CAAACATGTCATATTATATGTAGTATTTTTTATTTATTTATAAAAGTTGAGAAGGTACGGAAGAGAGGATTGGGGTGGATGTTGCAGAGAGTGGAACTATGAAAAAGAAAATGGGAGGTATTGTTTTTTGTTTTTTGTTTTTGTTTTAATTTTCTTTTTCAAAGTGGAGGGTTGGGCTTGTTTCATTGTAAATTTTTTAAAAAGATAATTGTAGTCTCTATACATTATAATTTTATTTTTTTTTATAAAAAATGATATTCTCTTTTAGATGAGACATTAACAAAAGGTGCCTAAAATTATTAAAAAATAAATGATTTATGAAGCTATAATGCAATGTTTTTAAAAGAAAACTGGTCGTGTACAATTGAAGTTTGGATGGAAAGTACTATTTTTCTGTTTTTCTAGTGTTATTTTTTTCTAAAAAAATTTCGAAACTTTTACAATGTGACCCATTAGCCCGAGAATCCTGAATCCACCACTGGTTCAAGTCAATGACAGAAAGAAAAGAAGGCGAGTGAGGATATTGGAAACAGTCACCAAATAAAGCTATATAGCAAAAGCCAATTGTTTTTCTTTGAACTTTTTTATTTTAATTTTTGTTATCTTCCGAAAGTTCTTTTTTTCTTTTGTCGAACTTCCGAATGTTCCAGTTCCTTTCGTTTTGTCATCGGCCACTGACTGATTCTTGCATGACTTTCAACCACTCACAAGAATAGAAGGTGCCAAGTCCACGGCTTTAAGTCAATATTTTTGCTTTAAAAATAGTTCTGCAGCAGGCACAGAAAGTAGGATCAAAGCTTGATCAATAGTTCAGGTTGGGAGCTGCTGATTAACGCAGCAAAAGGCAGCAAAAGGTAATTTCTGTATGCTTTTATATTGTTTATACTCTTTTTATCTAAGCCATCAGATTCACTTGGTTAACAAATCCGGAAATATTGTTCTTTCTAAAGAGAAAAAGGAAAAACTAGACTTATTAACTGGAGATATTGGCTTAATTCGATATAATTATACTAAAATATTAATTTTTTTTTTCTTGAATTTATGTACTTTCATTTTTTTATTTTATAAAACGAATCCGGAAAAATATATTGATCCTCCAATTTTTTTTTATTCATGTTTTTTTTTTCTTTTCTTGAGTGCACTTTTTTTATATAAAATTATTATTATTATTATTATTATTATTTGTTTTTGAACCTTTTTATTTATACCCATGGTAATAATCGTAGTAGTTATACTTGAAGCTAAGGATAGTATATTTTGAAACAAATTTGAAAAAGACTTCTTAGATCTAGATCCAAAATTATTACCTGTCATTGGGTTTAATCCATGCGTTTTTGGTTTTAGATGTAGGTCCTTTGACATTTATTACTTTTTTTGTTATGTCAATTTTACCCTTTGATGTAAATAAGGAAAACACATTGAAAATATAAATTTAATGCAATATTTCCATATAAATTTATGCAGTATTTCCTTGTAATTGCATTTCAGAATTTAAATTTGGAATTATTTCCTTGATAAATCGTGTTACCTATAACTTAGGAACATAAATTACAAGACTACCTATAACTTAGGAACATAAATTAGAAGACTACCTATAAGTCAGATACAAAAATAGACAAATAAAATTTTATGTTACTTATAAAAATTAGAACATAAATGACACATTGTCGAAAATGTGAAGAAAAAAAACACATATATACCTATGCAATAGGCAATAAGACAATATACCTACACCGTAAACAAATGCTTTTTTTCTTTTTTAAAAACATTTAGAGTTCGAAAGAGCTGGAATGTAAGTAAAAACGTGATTTTTGGGATATGTTTGCTATATTTTCCTTTTCTATTCAATGCCAAACGTTGTAAATAGCTAATTATTATGACATAAATGACTATTATCCGATTCAAGCTATAAGGGACAACATTGGAAAAAAAATAATTTTCAAAATAAATAAATAAAAAGATTACATCAGAAAATATTAAAAAAGGAATGTAATCCTATGTGGCACAAAAATCAAATGACTTAGATCAAAGTTACCAAATCCGAGGATTAAACCCAACTCCTCAGTGAGAATTTGGATCTATATCAACTTTTCTATGGCTTATTAGATCTAGATCCAAAACGATTAGCTGCCATTGGGTTTAATCCACACATTTTTGGTTTTAGATGTAGATCCTTTGACATTTATTACATTTTTTTGTTGTGTTGATTTTACCCTTTGGTGTAAATAAGGAAAACACATTGAAAATATAAATTTAATGCATTATTTCCTTGTAATTGCATTTCAGAATTTAAATTTTGAATTATTTCCTTGATAAATCGTGTTACCTATAAGTTAGGAACATAAATTACAAGACTACCTATAAATTAGGAGCATAAATTAGAGGACTACCTATAAGTTAGATACAAATAAAATTTTATGTTACCTATAAAAATCAGAACATAAATTACGCATTGTTGAAAATATGAAGAAAAAAAACACATATATACCTTTGCAATAGGCAACAAGACAATATACCTACACCGTAAACAAATGCTTTTTTTCCTTTGTCAAAACATTTAGAGTTCGAAAGAGGAGGAATGTAGGTAAAAATGTGATTTTTAGGATATGTTGCTATATATTTTCCTTTTCTATTCAATGCCAAACGTTGTAAATAGCTAATTATTATGAATAAATGACTATTATCCAATTCAAGTCATAAGGGGCAATATTGGAACAAAAAATGATTTTCAAAATAAATAAATAAAAAGATTACATCAGAAAATATTAAAAAAGGAATATAATCCTATGTGGCACAAAAGTTAAAGGACTTAGATTAAAGTAATCAAATCCGAGGATTAAACCCAACTCAATGAGAATTTGGATCTATATCAACTTTTCTAACGTTAAAATCGTAGTATGTTTCATTTTTGCCAACTGTCTATATTGTGTGAATTTTTTTGTTTTCACGAAATTGATTCACCCACTAGGTTGGGATATTCTTGTATGCTTCCAAATCAACGAGACATAGATGTATGATCATGTAGAAAAGAAAACCCAACTCAAGTAAGGTCCTCACATCTCTTCTTTTTTGTTATACAATGCATTTCCTTTCCTGCCAACCGTTACATGCATGTACATGAGTTCATTTAAAACTGCCCCTTAGTTTATGACACTAATTTAGAGGCACGGAATAAAAACGGTTAATTTTAGTTTGGTACTCTGCAATATTGTTTCCTGAAGATATGTTGGTAGATAGCTTTCAGTTTAGAAAAATATGACAGAAATTGAGAAAGAAAGTTACTGTAAAGCTTGTGGAGAAAATGAGAGAATTTATTGTTTCTAATTATCTAGGGCTGGGATTTATTTATGAGTTAATGGATGTTGCAAAAGAGAAGATTGCTTTTAATTGTGGAAATGTTGAAAGAAAGTATAAACAAATTTGGAGAAGAATAGATGAAAGATGGGGCCCATAACTTCATCAACCTTTACATGCTGCTAGTTATTATTTGAACCCTCAATTGCGTTATGAAGAAACCTTTTCTAATGCTGATGAAGTGAGGAAGAGATTGGAAGATTGCATGACTAGGATGTTGTCCTTTGAGGATCGTATGGATGCTGATATCCAGTTGGACTTGTATGATGAGGTAAAAGGAGAGTTTGGAAGTCGTCTTGCTGTGAATTCAAAGAAACTACGAACTCCAGGTTATAATCTTTACTTTTTCATTTTCATTTGAGTATAATGAACACTTGAAATAAATGTTGAACTTAATTAGATGGATTTGTTTTGTTTTGTTTTAGCAAATTGGTGGAAGCTTTTTGGAAGAGACACACCTGAGTTGACGAAGTTTGCTATTCGGGTCCTTAGCCTTACTTGTAGTGCATTTGGGTGTGAGAGGAATTGGAGCACATTTGAGCAGGTAAAGTTCTTCGGTTAATTTATTGTTCAAATTTTGATGCTTATAAATCTAATTTTGTATGTTTATATTCATTTTAGATTCATACAAAGAAAAGAAATAGACTTGAACATCAAAAGCTCAATGCTCTAATATATGTGAATACGGCACTAAGAGAGAGAAGTATTAGAAGGAGGTCAAAGATTGATCCAATATTGGTGAATGAAATTGAGTCCGATGATGAATGGATAACTGAGGTTGAAGAACCAATTCTACGAACTGACCTTACTTGGCTTAATTCTCAAGAATTATATGATGTTGATGTCATCAGAAATATGCCCATTGAACCTTATGAAACTGATCCACATACTCGAATGCCTATTTCTGTGGAGCCTATTGGTGATCCTAGGACTCAAGAGCAAGGGAATATTCATGTTAGGACTCAAGAGCCTATTGTTCATTCTAGAACTCAAGATCCTATTATTGATGATGATCTTATTTTTGACGATGATGTTCTTCTTTCCTCGTTAGCTTCAAAAAAGAGAAAAGAATGTGAAACCTCAAGTAAGTATGGAAAGTAAATCATGGAGTGAAAGTTACAATTAGTGTTTAATTCATTACCACTAAATTTTATAATTTTAATTCATTGTTCATATGTACAGGTAAGAGGAAAGTCAAAAGCAAGTCCAAAAGAGCGATGCTTATGGATGAAGATGATGAGATAGATAAAGATCCTTCAACATTTGATAGTGGGAAATATCCTTTTCATATTGATATAGTTGATCAATATGATAGTGATGATAGTTTGAATGATATTAGTGTTGAGGAGTGGGATGAGTGAATTATGTTTTTGTTTTGATGTTGAATAAATATTTTATGTTTTGGGATTGATTATTATGCTTTGAATGACAATTAATACTTATATTTGATTATATTTAAAAGATTGTTATGGTTGAATAAGAATTAGTTGTACAATTTAATCGTATTGTATTATTCATAAATTTTTCTTATTAAAATAAATTAATGTTCAAAAGGCTTATGCCTCACATAGCGCTACTAAAAACACCTCGCCTATGAAAACATTGTTTTGGACTGAAAAATGCTTTTGATTTAACATTAATTCGGTATGGATTTGTCACTGCAGGAATTTCAACACAGGTGTTTTAGCAAAAATGAGTTGAAGAGAGTGAGAGAGTTAACCAGCAAGCTCCTTGGAAACATTCGCGATAAAGATGCAGGATTGCTTAGGGCACATGAGGAGGATTGCAAGCATGATGAAGACATGAAATCCTTTGACACCAACCTCAAAGCACGTACGACAGAAGTGATCAGCAGCCTTGCGAGTAGCGGAGCTATTTCAACCGAATACTTGAAAGATGTTGTAAATTATGTGAGGGTATGGAACCAGAAGACTGTGGACTCTATCTTGCAATTGGAAAAGGATATCAGAGGCGAGGGCAAGAAAGGGGTGAAGGGCAAGTAGGGTAAGAAAAGGAAGAGGAAAAACATCACATTTTAGAACGTTGTGGATGAGTACGAAGACAATGGCCGGGAAATGGTGGATTTATTATCAGAATTGGACAAGTTTGTAAAGTCAGCTTGCAACAGCCATTCGTTTATTGAAACTGTTGTGCAAGAATATTTTGATAAACAGGAAAACCCGAACGACAGTGTGTTAGTATTGATTTTGTGATTGGCATTTCCTAGAGACAAATTAGACTAAGTATAGATGGTAAATTAGTTGTGATAGTGGTTGTCAAAATTCCAAGATATGCTCTGAAGGCTTATATGTCAATCAACGATCACTAAAGTAAATTCTTCATTCAATCATACATCTTGATTGTGGTATTTCTAGCATTATTTCAAACTCATAATCTGATTAACATTTTGATGAAGAAGACTTTTTATTTTAAGAAAGATTGATTTATTTTATAAAATGCTTTCCAGTTTTGAATATTAAAAGTCTTCTTTGATTGGAAATCAGTTAATCTGATTTAACAAGTAATCTGTTTGATTAGGAACTAATTGATCTTGTTTCAAGTTTTGAAAACCACTATAAAAGTAAGGCTTGGTTTCATTCTTAAAAACAACTTTCAACGACTAGAGTGTTTCTTGAGTTTTCATATTGTTAATGTATGGTTTTTGTAATTTTCTTTTGGCTTCCCTTGACATCTTTGTAATAGGATTTGTATTGTTATTTACCAAGCTCTAGCTTAGATTAAGAATAGCTTCTCTAGGTGTTCTTAACTATCATATATCCTATGGAGATTCAAGCAAATTGACAAAGGTAAATTCATGCATTGCATATCATTGCATTAAATTGTTTTCATAAATGATGACTAGTCATCTGCTTCTCTCATGCCTAGTCATCCTAGCTCTGTAGGATTTCCAGTTGGTTAACCAATTTTTTTGTCCTATTCTTCTTTTACTCTCTGTTGCCATGTGTCATTCTGACCTAAGGGAATTCTTGTATGTAAAGGCTATGCGTTTCCTCATTTGGTAGCCGTCTCTTTTGTGTGGAAGTTTTGGAAAGATTGGCTTGCTATCTTTCTCTTCTTCTTCCTCAAGAGAGAATCAAATATTTCATCTATGAGTTTTTACAATTGATTTCTTTTTGAAAAACTGCATTTGAAACACGAATCTGCATCTAGCTACTTAAATCATTCTCTCATTTATATCTAGGTCAGATTCAAGACTGATTTCTTCAAAAGTATGGTTTCTTGAAGAAATTGGTCATTCTCCTTTGAATCCAAATTTTGGCTTCAGTCTGAGTTGGAGCTTGCAAGCTAGTGACATGGGATGAACGAGCTGGAGAAGGAGCTGCTATTGCCATGAAGAACTGAGCTTCAAGTTTTGCTAAGTTGGAGAAGAAGATTGCACGAAGGAGGTATAGCTCATATTCCTAAATAGATCTAGGTGTTTCTTGAGCTTACTTGTGTTTCCTTTGTAAGAATATTTTTCTACTTAGTGGATTGCCTGGTCGGTTGATGACTCCCAGTTTTTCCCAATTGTGGGTTTCTGGGTGAACAAATTCTGTTTTGCATATTTGTAATTTTTTCTGGGTTTGTGTTCTTGGTGGTTGACTAGTCATCTTTATCTGTTGTTTGCTGTTTACTTGATAATGATGATTTCACACACTTTCACCACAGTTGTTGCAAGCATAGGGGATGCCTAGATTGATGGGTCCTTCTGAGTGCCTAGGTTGTCACTAATAATCTTCTAGGGTTGCAGGTACTTTGTGGCATGCTCTGTGTGTTCTCTTGATTGTAATTGTTCATGACTAGCAATTGACTAGTCATATGTGTATTTGGTCAAGGTCTAAAGTGTGTGAAGATTGTTGTGTGGTTGTGTCTTGTTTGTGTCGTTAAATTTACCTCTCGTCACCTAAGTACCAATTTCACATATACACAAAAGAAAGTTGCTGTGCTTTATTTTCCAGAAGGATAAATCATCAAGAGCAAGATTATCTTGGTGATTTATCTTTGTATTTATATTGCATTCATTTGCATGGTCGGTGACTCATACGGTTAAGGGCACAAAGACCGTTGTGGCGGTTTTTCTCCGATAAGCTTGAATCAATCGTGACCAGTATCGGATTCAACATAAGGAGAGTTGGAAGAACTCCGGCACGCTTGAAGCAATCATGACCAGTATTGCGTTCAACATAAGGAGTGTCGAAAGATTATCCCGCGAGAAGTTGAGTTACGAAGAAGTTGGTACGTTGTCTAGAGTGTCTAGGACAAGTTTGTATACTTCTTGTAATCATCGTTCTATAGTGGATTTGCCTTGGACAATCAGGTCCCGTGGATTTTCCCCAGAGGTGGTGTTTTACCACGTAAAATAACTTTTATGTTTTTATTTGTTTTTAAGTTCTGTACTGTAGAGGATTGAGATCAATCCCTTTGGCGTGTTTTTATATATTACTGTATTACTCTTGACTACTCAAAACGCAGACTTTACTCTTTTAGTGTTTTAAGCCATCCTATAGGTATTTTCACAGTGGTACTAGTTCAACTACTCATGACCACTACAAGAGGATATCTGAGAAACTGAAGAATATCAAGGCTGCTGCCCATAACAGTTTGGCTGAAAGCTTGCTCCAGAAGGTTCAACCTTTGATCACGATGCATCAACAATTCCTTGAGAATTTGACAGTCCAGAAAGAGAAGCTTGGAAAGAAGCAGCAGACTGCTCGTGCTTGGAGGAAGGCCGCGAATATGTTATTCATCAGTTCTGTGGCTGCGATGTTACTTTGGTCTGTGGCAGCAGCAGTTTTAGCTTCTCCAACTACTGTAGCATTAGCAGCAGCTATTGCTGCTAGTGCTGGGGCGTTAATGGAAGGACAACATTGGACTGTCTCTTGGTTAAAAGAATGGGAAAATGATTTAAAGGAAGAAGAGAATCAAGTTGACGAAATGCATGACAACACTAGACTTGCCTTTACGGAGTTGAACAATATTAATAAGGCTGTAAATGAGATTGATGTACTCTTGGGCCAACCAGACTTTGCAATTGCTGAGGAACAAATAAATGTCACAATGAAGGATATTCAAAAGAAGTTGGAGCCATTTATGAACAAAATTGAGGGTTTGAGTGTAGAATCGAACTAATGGACACAAGAGATGCTGTTGTAAGTTCTGGATCAGCTTTGATGAGCATATAAGAGCCCGTTTGGTAACAATTTCATATAGAAATGCTACTACTAGCTACAAGAACAGTAAGCAAATCTATGTGGGTGATGCAGATCTTCCCTCCCTTTTTTTCAAAGGATGTAATTAAGGAAAATAGCTCTAAGTCTTTCATACTTCAATTTTTTAGATTGGGGCATTCTAGGGTTCACTCCTCAAGAATTAGAACGGAGCCTCGTGTTTTCTGAAAACGTGAAAAATACATATAAAGTCGTTTTCAATTTTACTACAGTTTAACACCTTGTGATTTTTTAAAAATTAATAAAAACAAAATCATGTGTTTTCTAAAGTCAATGCACCGAGAAATTATAGAATGATACAGTACTATCACGTCAGTTGGTGGTACTTCCATTCAAAATATGTCATATGTCATTTTTTTTAAAATTATAATTTTTTTTTACAGCTGGATTTTATACTTTCTTTTTAACTTTAGAATAAGATTTTTTTATTTTAAAAAAGAAAGAACCCAAAGAAGCCGCCGGGAACCACCTCCCACCACAACCCAATCCCCATCCTCGCACTTCTTCCACCCGACCCAATAGTCCATGGATTAAGAAAAGAAAAATTAAGAAAGCAAGCTCATTGGGGACTCAACAGGTTTCTGTAGTGTGCTGGTTATTTCTTTATGGGTTTGTTGGTAATCATCTGTACAGAAACCACAAAGGAAATAATCAGTTTTTGTTATTTCCAGTGATTTCTTATGTGGTTCTTGATTTAGATTAACCAGGTGGGCAACCAAAACCCTTGGGCGATTGGGTTGGGTGGTTGGTAGTGCAAGGTAGGAAGATTTGGGTTGTCGTGGGAGTTGGTATCCGGCGTCTTTGGTTTTTTTGTTTTTTAAATATGATTCTAGAGGGCAAAAGTCCAGCTGTAAAATAAAATATTATGAATTTTTTTAAATGACACATGGCATATTTTGAATGGAAATACTACTAGCTGACGTGATAGTACAATACCATTCTATAATTTCTCCAACGCACCATATATCCTTTTTGAACTAGTCTCTTATAATTGTATTGCATGAGCCTTCCATTATTAGTGCTATTAATAGCCCAATAGAAAGATGAATTTAGTATGAGATGAGCTTGAAACATACTGGTTTCCAATTCCTTCTTTTCTATGCCTCAATACAATTAAGGACTTTATTAGTTTCCTAGTACAAAAAATAAAATAAAAGGAAAGCAAAATAAAGCGTGCTAAAACAAAGGGGTGTGGTTGGAATCAAGACTATCACCACTTGTAGTGGCGGATCCAAGATTCTTGGACCAAGGGGTCACAATGTAAAAGTTTCGAAAGTTTTTTAGAAGAAAATAACACCAGAAAAACAGAAAAATAGTACTTTCCATCCAAACTTCAATTGTACACAGCGAGTTTTCTTTTAAAAACATTGCATTATAGCTTCATAAATCATTTATTTTTTTTAATAATTTTAGGGACTTTTGTTAATGTCTCATCTAAAAGAGAATATCATTTTTTATAAAGAATAAAATTATAATGTATAGAGACTACACTTATCTTTTAAAAAAATTTAAAATGAAACGAGCCCAACCCCCCACTTTGAAAAAGAAAATTAAAAAAACAAAAGACGATACCTCCTATTTTCTTTTTCACAGTTTCACCCTCTACAACATCCACCCCAATCCTGACAGGACTCGCCCCGAATTTCCTAAAACCTAAGACGAATCCTGTGGAAACCCCGGCATCACACCCATGCCAGGCTCACTCACGGAAAAGTAGCCTCCTTTTTCAAAAGGAGTAGGGGCACGATACTTTCTGCCGGAAATTCGGCAGAGTCCCCTCTGTAATTTGGACTTTCCCCAAAATTTCAACATGCATAAAACACACTTTAATAATCCAACCGGCAGCATGCACAATATAATTTCATGCAATTCAAACATTTGGCCTTCGGCCTTCACATAACAAAATTTAACTTCCCAAATATCTAACATATGAGGTTTTAACCTCCTAACACAAACACAAGTAGTTTAAGGCCTCAGCCTAAACATACAACAACCCAAACAGGTCTTGCCCCTAATTCAGCCACAACACACTAATACCACCCTCTCGTAGTCAAACGGGAGTATGAACAATTATCTAATCACATCTTGGTTTCATCCGAGTTTCAGAACCAAAGATAAGGTTAGCACCACTCAACAAAGCACCTAACTAAATCTAGTCCGCGGCTGCACCTAGGCGCTATCCTAGGCTGCCTACGTACCCTTACTAAGGGATCAAGTCACACGTAGTTCTTTCTTAAAATCCTTTTTCTTAAATCACAACTCACCAAATACTCACAAAATCTCCCCATGCGCCGGAACATCCAAAGTCACGTATGGGGCCTATCCGCATGCCGGATAATCCTACGACATGTGGGACCTCATCATCATATCACCATAACTCCCCATATGCCGGTACTACTACCACGCCGCATATGGGGTCTGTCAACACGCCGGCTACTCCTACGACACGTGCGACCTCACAAGCACAACACAACAACCCCTCATATGTCGGTGCTACGACCAACGTCGCATATGGGGTCTGTCAACACGCCGGCTACTCCTTCGACACGTGCGACCTCACAAGCACAACACAATAACCCCTCATATGTCGGTGCTACGACCAACGTAGCATTTGGGGTCTGTCAACACGCCGGCTACTCCTACGACACGTGCAACCTCAACACAATATCACATATCTCCCCATACACCGGGACATCCACAACCACGTATGGGGTCCCACCCCCCGGCTTCCCCTCCGCCACATGCGACCCCAACACAATATCACATATCTCCCCATAAGCCGGGACATCCACAGCCACGTATGGGGTCTGTCAACACGCCGGCTACTCCTACGACACGTGCGACCTCAACACAATATCACATATCTCCCCATACGCCGGGACATCCACAACCACGTATGGGGTCTATCAACACGCCGGCTACTCCTACGACATGTGCGACCTCACAAGCATAACACAATAACCCCTCATATGCCGGTACTACGACCAACGCCGCATATGGGGTCTGTCAACACGTCGGCTACTCCTACGACACGTGCGACCTCAACACAATATCACATATCTCCCCATACGCCGGGACATCCACAGCCACGTATGGGGTCTGTCAACACACTGGCTACTCCTACGACACATGCGACCCCAACACAATATCACATATCTTCCCATATGCCGGGACATCCACAGCCACGTATGGGGTCTGTCAACACGCCGGCTACTCCTACGACATGTGCAACCTCACAACCACATGGTGGTACTTACACAGTGAAATCAATATCCGGTGAGGTACATGGGGTAGTGCGTATAGCACTTCAAACTGACATTCTAAACTCTTTTTATACCTTTATATATACACACAAATATATATAATTTCTAATATTGGAAACACCTCAACAACAATCTAGCGTCCGATAATCCCCCAATTCAAAACAATGAATTAATATCCTAAACCCACATAACCAACATACAATCAAGACCTGTCACTACGGTCATTTTAATCTTCCTAGGAAGGTAACACCACCTAGGAAGTCTCACGGTCAACCCAGGGTCAAACTACCCAACCTTAGTCAAACAGGCCCACGGGGTCCACGACCTCCAATTTCCGATCTGAAAGATCCTATAGGTTCTACAAGGCTTAGGACACACATCCTGCAAGTTTGGTCCAGATCGGACGGTCGGATCGCTCACGATCGCACGGTTACTTAAACCCTAGTCCTAGGCTTGGCATTTTCGGAGTATCCGGGACTCCGTTTTATGATCCGTCGAATCCTACACGATTATAAGGATGTCTAAATTAACATATGTCGAATCCTAGCGAATCCGGATAATGTGCAATATGCGATATCCGTTCAGGACTCTAACGGTATCCAAATTGAAATCCGAGCACACCTACGCGCTCGTGACATCAAGGGGATCGCATTGGGACAAAAATGCCCCTAAGCTACAGTGCCCATGCGCCGCCACACGCGCCGGCAGCGTGTAGGTGTCCAAAGCGATTACCCTTCACCGGAAAATCTCCAAATCTCGGCTCAAGACTCCTACCCTAGGTGAAACACCTTATTTGGAGCCACTTTTGTTCTTAGGCATACCGCAAAAATTGACTGGAAGTGGCAAGAATCGCGATCCAATAACCGGTCGAACCCTAACTCGAAAATCGAGTTGTCTACGCTACAAATTTATCAATTCCTACACAACAGGCAGCTAGAGCTCGAGGAACAGATGGATTTCCATACATGGATCGCCAAAAATGGCGGCTGGATGAGCGGCTGGAATTTTCCTCTCGAACCGGTCGATTTTCTGCAAAATTCGGCGGTGTCGCTACCGGCTGGCCTTGGAGAACAGGTGGGGTAGGACGCCGGAGCAAAGCCGGTCATTTCGGGACCGGTCTCGGCCCAGATGGTGGCCGGCCGCGGTAGTGGCCGCCGGCCCGGGCCGGCAGCG